CCACGTCCAATATTGGCATGTTAATACCGACAAGGGACTGCGAAATGCAAACGATAAACCAAAGTCTAGGAAAATAATATGCAAGCTCGGTTAGCACTGCTAATTCTGAAGTGGGCTGAATCAGTAATATTCAAAGCGATTGTTCGATATCCTGTAACATTACTTCTGAAAAAATAAAATTTAACTCCAACAGTACAGTGGTTTTAAGAGGTAAACCTACTAAAGTAATGCAAACCACAATTTCAAAATAAGTCATCCAGCTGCATTTCCTCTGGTCTTTTAAACATACTAGAAGCTTTCTGATCTGTGGAAATGAGAGCACACCCTCTTATCGGAGGAGAGAAATGAAAACAGCTACACCATTTTAATTCTCATGCTATATGAAAATAAAAGCATCAGTTGTCAACCCAGACTAACTGCTTAGCCCAATCTGCATTCTTTACCAGATTTCAACTTCTACTAGCATAATTTCTAGGCAGCGGCAAATTTTGACGATGAAAGGGTATGGTATTTGCAAACTAAGCACACTCAGAAATTTTGCTTTAACAGAAGCAATTGTTATATTTAGGATCTTAAATCAAAAGCACTGTCTAGCCACCTCATGCTTAGGATGACACCTGTGCATTTAGAAGCTCTTCTGGAGTGTGACAGATAGCAATCAAATTTTCTTTTCTCTTTCAGTCAACATCCAGCCATGGAAGTACTTGCAATCAGAAGGTACACGGAATTAATTAAAAAATTAAAATGTGTTCTTTTTAGGTGACATGTATCTTTAAAACAGTGTTCTTTAGAAACTGAACACCCTTCTTCAATAGCCATGGCCACCTACGAGTCACACGGGATCGAGCTGACTGCCCCATAGACCTCTATGCCTTCCAGCACTGCTTAGCTGCTACCAAAGACAGTTTCTGGTCTCTTTATGGTCAACAAAAGAGTCCCTCAGCACTCTGCAAACAATTTTGCATCTGACTACAAGAGACAAGTTCTTGTTTTGGGTACAATCTCAGTATTTTTTTTTCACAGAAAGTGTAAAATGGGAACAGGAAAGTACAAAAACCACTGGCTTAGGGATAGAGAGGATTTCAGACGTGACACGCAGCAAAAATACCATTATACATCATTGTACCATACAGATGTCATGGCTGTGAAAGAGCAGCGTGGCCAGCCATGAATGCTGACCCACATGCAGCCAACATTTTAACAGAGGTCACAGTCACATGCAAAACAGCTTTACCCATGTGAGTATCTGCAGGCTTCCCTGGCTTACTCAGGTCTTCAATTAGATTAATCAAGCCCACAAAGGTTCCCACATGCTTGAGTATTTGCGGCACCAGGTGCTAAGGCAGAGGAGATTGAGTCCTGGGTGGTTTTTTGTTTGTTTGTTCATTTTTAAACACGCAGGTGGAATGTCCTTACCTCCTTCCTCCATGACTCCCTGGTACCCTTGATTTTTCCACAAGCAGGGTGGTTCGAGTAATAACTGTTAAAATAACAACTGCAAGTTTTTTTCTGCAATACTAGGGATAATCAAGTGGGTGAAAACCCATTTTAACCCTGGGTAGTGGACTTCCAGAGAAACCAGAGTAACTACTCAATAAAGATTTATAAACAACATGCAACAAGGAGTGCTGAATATGAGAGTGTATTAAACAGGCCAGAAACAGGAATACTTTTACTTGCTTCCAAGAACACGCAGTTTACTACTCAGAACTTACCTTGCACGTTGTTGTAGAATGCTATAATTGCAGGGGAAATAACCCACCTCAAATAAATGTATTTTTAAAATATCATTCTATTCTCTCCCCTTATTCATTGTGTTAGTGGAACATAAAAACATATTAAATAAGCCTCAGACCTTAACCGTCAGTGTTAAAATTCAATTCTGTTGTCAATTTGCCACGTGTGTAAATGCGTAAGTGAGCGCTGAGGCTTTCTTCCTTTCAGAAAAGGTGGCAGTATGCGGGGGTTTTTTCAATTTTTCTAATTAATGTGGTATCGGCTAAGAAGTGTTTCCAATTTTACACCTTGTTTTCTGTTTAAACCTGTTTCTCCTGCTTCAACCCAGAGTGTCACATGAAATTAAGTCACACATTTTAAAGTCTCCATATATGCTTATTTATTTGAGAAACGAGAGCTAGACTGTTCTTCCCCTTGGAAGGAGCAAAGCACCAGTTCCTTGCTCACAGGTGATAAGTTTGCTAAAATCAAGCATCTCACATTTTTGAATACAACTGTATCATCAAAGTAACTTTTTGGAGAACTTAGGTTCCCCATTTCAGCTTAATTGTTTTTAAAGTACCACAGGTATTTAGTAGTATAAGATACCATTTTTAATAGAACTTATCTTGCACCCTTTACTATATCTGTTGTTCATTTCCATGAGATTGGCTATGCAGATGAAAAATTACATTAAAAAAAACCCCAATTTTTAAAATTCATAAATTTATGTTTGAATAGTCAAATATATGTTTCTATCTGCTCCGATTTGAGAAAAAGAAAAAGCCACCATCTTTTTCAGCTGTGTTAGCCATCATCTGGATTATGCCCATCCTCTTCTTTCAAGTTGGGAAAGCAGTTTGCTTTAGTAATACCAGTTATAATCAATATGCTTCTATTTTTGTGTCTATCATTTTAAAATAGATATAAAAAAGTGTAGAATTTAAAATTGCTATACACTTGATACAGAACCACAGCAATGCCATTAATGGTCCAATTTCCAAGCATAATTCAATACATGCCAACAAGCTGGTTTTGCACTACACAGAAAAAAGGTCAAAACCTAAAAATAAAACCCCACGATTCACTGACGTGTGTTTTTCTGTCTTTTCTTGCTTTGGTAATTCAGGTATTTTGAAATGGTTTGCATCATCAGAAGCAACTCGGTGAGAAGTGGCAGTCATGTCAAGAAAAAGGAAACTATCCAAACGGTTCAGGTTCTTCTTCCTCTGCTCTACAGAACAGTTACAATTTTCAGAACCAGTGTATATTTGTGTTTGTTTGCATCTGGAAGTTCAAGCAGGAGAGATCATCAAATGAAATGCATTTCTGTTTCAAGTGGGAAAATACCAACCTGGAAACAAGCGACGATCAGTTCTAAACCAAGCTTCTTCCAAGTGTTCCTTCTGTGATGAATTCTTGAAGCATCTTTCTATCATTTGAAATGTTACCCACCCACCTTTCTAAAAATGACTTGCTACTTGCTATTATAGAGAGGGGATCTCAAACCAAGGTTAACCAGACTTTTTGGCTGTGGAAACTTTACTGTGGAAAAGAATATGAAACTCTCTCAAATTTACTTGTCAGCAGCAAAAAGACTCTTCAAGTGTCTTAACCACTGTACAGCTTGATAGTTTTAATACTTCAACTTTCTTTTTTTCCATTTTTCATTGTTGAAGAAATAATTTCACAATCTCAAATCAAAGTCAACACTGCAGTGAGGAGAGCTTTTCTACTTTATTACAAAGAGAAGAAGCCTTTATGTGGTCAGAAAATACAAGATTGATCTTTTTTTTTTTTCTCTTCCTATGAAACGCTGCTGTTCAAACAGCCAGAGTGAATTGTCTCAGTTCACTTCTTTAAGTCCCATCACATTCACTTGGGTATGGATGTCCTTGGCTGCTGAAAATCTGGCCCTTTAGTGCACAGGGCGACAAAGTAGTCCCCTGACCAGCAGTTCCAGAATGTCCCGTTTTCATATATTGCATCCATGCACACCTCCTAAAAATGAGGTACAGCAGGGCAAACATTTTCCAAAATAGATGTCATATATATAATATATACACATTCGTACATACATACCTTTATTCATGTGATGTCCAAAAATTTAAAAAAAATGTACACATTTATTACAAAATCGTAACAAAGACTGGACAGTGTTTTGCTCATTCTGGAAAGATGAAGCTCAGTAATACACAACTCTGGAAACTAACCAGAGACTGTGGCAATATCTTTCTTCTAAACAGTCAGATATTCTTGCATTAAGCTTGGCGAAAACTGCCTTTCAAAAACAGAAGGGGAAGTAAAATGAAGGAAGCAAACCTTGCTCATCTTTCCAAATGAAATACGAGAAGGATCTTCACATAAAAATGCACAAACATTTTTTATTACCAATAGTGCTACAATGAACAATGCAAATTTTGTTGTCTAATTTTTTGTCTTTTTTCTTTTTTTGACGTTTTTACATTTTGGAAAACTAAGTGGTAAACTTCTGTCAGTGTACTCGCTTGTCTTTACAGACCCAAGCTTGTCTGCTGGCAAAAAATAAAACAAAAACAAAAATTCAGACCCTGCTCAAACTAAAGAAAAAGTTACAAATTTAGTTGTTGGGCAGCACATAATTAGTAAGGCAGGACCTCAAATGGTGACCCTTCGCATGAGCCAATTGCCAGATCCTCAAGGAATTAAAACCAGGATGCCTGAGCCACATCAGTTCTGCAGTTATTTTGAGTATTGTGCTGAGACAGCCATACCCCAAGAAAAGGGAAGTCTTTAGAAGGCTTGCTGAGCAGGGTTGTAGTTGAAGGTTGATGGCAGATGAGGCCTTTCTTCTAATTTGTCATATTCCAGATGGAACTCCTACAATTAAAATAAAAAAGACAAAATCAAATAAAACAACATATCATTTACCTGTCGAGAACCGTTCGTTCTACCAGCCATACTTGAAAAGCACAAATGCAGAAGAGATCAAGTCCTAGCTTAACTCAAGGCAGAAATACATGACTTCGCTCTCTGGGATTCTACATTTTGATTAGGAAAAAGTCAATATCCTAAGCCACTACACCTGCAACACGTAGGCTCTCCTTTTTCATGTTACATTACTCTCGGAACCCTGGTTATGATCTCAAATGATTTTTTTATATATATACACACACACATATACACACACACACAAACCACAAACATACAATCATAACATGAGCTGAATTATGAATAAAAGCTTCTGTCTTTCCACAGTTCAGATGTACAGAGACTTATGTGGGATGACCTGAAGTTCTGGGATATTTTGTGCCATACTACCAGACCCAACTGTAAGTTAAACTAGCTGGGTTTCTCTGTCTTAGTACAGAATTGGGAAACATTATCTAAAATGCTAAAGACAAACTACTGAAACCTACTTAAGCCAGAATTTAACAAAATATTTCACCACATTTCATACTCAGATTTAAGCTTCACTCACCCAACCATCCTGTATATCCTCAGCTCCTTGCTCCTATATTGTACTTTGCCAACATCTTTCACGACAAATTTTCCCAGTGTTTTACAAAAAAACACACGAAAATCTTTGCCCATATACTAATCCCACACAAGCTACTGGTTCATAAACAAACATCTTTAGTGTCTCAGCAGCATAATCCCCTGACTTTTGTTTGAAGGTGTCTGGTTTGCATAAATGTAAAACATTTCTGTGATCCAGTAGGAATTCTTATTCTGACTATAGCAGCTACTACAAATCAGATTGTAACCACTCCTGATGTCTAAGTGCATCCTGATTATTACACTGACAAAGCAGCCTCCCTCCCTCTGACCTTAATTTGTGCACACAACCCTAATTAGTGCACTTTGGCATTTGGTGCTTGTTACTTCATTCATGCAAAAATGTGCAAGGACATACTTAAATCTTGTATTTTTCAGATCCTCTCAGCATAACTGTGTCTCATACCCATTTTATCTTCATTCGAGAAACAGAGTAAGCAGAAGTTTCAGAATTTTTCTTTAAGGGTACTTGTGGGTAATTCAACAACAGCTACCTTGGACACGCACAGCAATTTATTTTGCCTAACTCAGTGGAGAACTTCAGCGGAACATCATCTGTATCTGCACAGCAAACTTTGCTATTTTTACATACAGATGAAAACAATAAGAGTAGTGAATAGATTATTTTAGAACACTTCCTGAAGTGATTAAATAGTGTAATATTTCAGTTTTTACAGGTAGATAAACTAAATTAAAGACCAAGTCAATGCAAGACTAGAAATAAAAATCTAGGAAATCTAACTCTCAGACACCTCTTCTTTAAGGCAAAACAAGGTCCATCTAGCATAGAAAGAATGTTCAGCATGCCAAGGAAACAAAGTAGGGGAAAATGCTAAGCATTCAGTAAGCCTGTATTCCCCAGAGAATACTATCCCTAAAGCTGGAAAATCCTAGCAAAACCTAGGTGAGGTTACAGCCATCTGCACTGAAGCGGTGCACATCTGCTTCATTTCTGGTTCCCTGCCCTCTACTCCAACCTAGGTTTTTTTAGTTGTTTGGTTTTTTTTTTTTAATTTTGGTGGTGGGTCTGTTTTGTTTGTTTGGGTTTTTTAGGTTGTATATACAAAGTCAATTGCTTTTGGCATTCCTAATTAACACTGCATGTCAGTTGGTGCACGTTCTCTTTTTGTGCATATATATATGTACACATGTCCTGATACTGAAGAGATGCCTCCTCCCTCCCTTTGTCAGAAGCAGGGTCAAGGTGTGTAAGTCTATGCAGGTATCTTGATGTCAAAGGCTGGTTTAGATTGGGTGGATCTTCAGTAATTCTGAAGTAATTTTATAAAAGAAAAAATACCACTCAAACTTCTCTCTCTCTCTCCCATTCATGGCTTTCAAAGTTTCCATTTTGCACATAATCATGGAAGGGTCTCCAGATTACTACCAATCTATGGTCAGCTGTTGGGGAATTGCTGCTTTAACAAAATTGTGAACAAAGAGAAGGGTCAACAGTAAAAGCTTCAGTTACCTGGACCTCCACATGCTCTGAAATGCCTTCAAAATTACCCATGGAAAATGGCTACTTAAACTGGTAAGACTGTACCAGTAGTCTAAAAAGGGCTTTCCAAACTTAAGGTGGTTGCATCCCTCTACTGGCATTAGTAGCTGCGAGCAAGGTGTGTGTCTGAAAGAAATGCTCAGTAGCTTGAGCAGTCCTTTGTGTGCCACAAACTGGACGCCCCTCATTTAGAAAAAGGAGTATGATTCCCTACCAAAGTTTCTTTAGAAGTATGTAAGCTGATACTTCAAACTGTCATCGATTTTTAAAATAAACAGGCTTAAATCAGCCTTTGATTTGCACCCCAGTGTCAGCAATGCTTAAGTCCAATGTCCAGTAGTGTATAAGAATACCTAAAGTTATATCTGACAATACCACAAAAAAGAACTCACTGACCAAGTATTTTTGAAAACTAAAAGTCAATTATTTATTACATATAGAAAAATACTTGTATTACAGGTATAATTTATGGTTTTGCTTTTGATTCCAGGGGCCACTGTGGTTTAGGATGTGAACAGTAGCACTGGTATTTTTTTTAATATAAACAGATACAAATAAAATGTAAAAATGCCATTTATCCATTGACAAACATCTGTTAAATTGTTTTGTTTTCCACATGGAAGTAATTAATAAAAATTAAATACCTTTTATTAACCAAGAATAATGAATACTAAATGTATGTGGAAACTTATAGCACATGTATGACACTAAATAAATTGTTCTACACAAAGAAATCAACCACTTCTCATGTCATCCTGAAAACTTGTTTTGATGGTAAAGTTACATCAGCCTGCACATGTACAAACGATAATAGGTAAGAAGACCAAAAATAGAAGAGAATTGCTTAAGGTCATCCATAGCATTAATAGACAAAACAAAACGTCAGCCGCATAGGAAGTGTCCCGAGGACAAAATATTCTGGACTGTGTAAGTCCACCAAAGGAGATGGTAGAAATCCCAAGGCTAGCTCAAAAATTCCAAATGGGACTGAAAAAGCAGCATTTATACTGGCTTAAAGATGGATGCAAAGACCCAAATTTAAATTAGGGGCTGAATTAAAATGCTATGGCATAGCTCTATTAGAAGAACAAATTTAACTTTCTAGCTATTATAAAAATATTTCATTAATATTGATCTTAAAAGGATAGGGAGTAATTTAATATAGGCAGCAACCCTTACATGCAAGTAAACATTTGGAAATTTAAACCTTCTCTCTCATAAACAATTCCATGTTTTATAACTACAGAATTAAAGTAAAAGGGGTTTATAATCTTGCTCCTTAAATGGGATTAATTCTCCTTACTTTTCAAAGGAGAAATTCCAGACAGTTTACTTCAGACAATTTAAATCAGGATTTCATTAAATGTGCAATTGTAGAAGGCATTTTTGGTCTCATAGCTACTTCCCTTCCTCTCTCATCTCTCTCTCATGTCTCCTCAACAGCAGCAAACTACATAGCCAAATCCTCAGTAAAAAAATCAAAGTGTCTTTAATCATACTGTACTTTCCACATGCCCTAGGATGAAAAACCATATATACAGTCATATTGTAATCAGCATTTTCCTGCATTTTGTTTTGCATTTAAGGTGAATTTGAAGTTTATTGTCATTAATATTTTTTCACTATTTATTACCACATATCAACATAGAATTGATTTGATCGCATCTCCTAACAGTTTAGAAATTGTCTCACTACTCGGCTGTTTTGCTACATTTCCTTCTTTGGTCTATCATCTATTAGAAATATAAAAATAGAGCCTACATCTTAATAGAAAAGATAAATACATTATTTGATGTTTTCTTGAAAGAAGTTATTCAGTCTACTTTACTGGGTTTTGTCAAAACCGGTCTAGGACACTATCAAAAAATCTGTTAAACCATGTCTGGTTTATGTTTTTCCAAACTTAGTCTTAAGATTTAGTAATATTATCCAAAGTAAACAGTTGTATTCCACTGTATCTATGGTAATGCAGTATAATTTAAAATAGGTACAACAAATATGTAAGCTCATAATGCATAATGCACCATGTCTGCAAAGCACAACCCATTAAAATATGTGCTGCCCTACATTTGAGCATATACACTAGAACAACAGACAAGTTTATAAAGCACCCTGAAAAACAACTGAATTTGCACATACAAGAGATAGTGATTTACCAGAAATAATTCTTGTCTGACTGCTTCAAAAAAGGACTAATTAAATCATTAAGCAGCAATTACTACTGTGGCTTTCTAAGGAACTGATATTCCCAGCATTAATGTAGCAGCTATAGTAACAGACTGCAATTTATCAGAATTCTTTCTTTTTTTTCCAGCTTCTTATACTTCTGATTTCCTGAAACATTAATTAATACTTCTGCATCGGTTAGAAAAAATTACTTGGCCATACTTTTCTTTGTATTCAAAGCAACACAGAGTTATCAAATACTGCCATTCTTGTTAATGTCAACTCCAGAAATTAATACCAGAGGTAACAACATTACCATACAATGCCAAGATCACCCCTGACATACATCTAAGTTCTTATTGATCATAGATGGGAACGTTACAGAATTATTTCTAGCAAGTGATTCCTTTTCCATGTAACAAAATAGCAAATCCTTCTCTAGCTTCCTGTGATCAATACTCAACTTGCCTGCTGTATTTTGCACCAAACTAAAATTAAATAAACATTTCAAAATAATATTCCAGTTCCAATTTTTACATTAAGAAATACACAAGCCTAAAAGAAAATATATTATCTCTTCCTATGGACACAGCGGGGATGGGTGGTATAAGTTCCTTGTTAGCTTACCGCAACAGGTGCAAAACTTTAGAAAACACTATCCCTCTCCTTACTAGCTACCAATTGCTTCTTAATGTTGGAGGAACTATTTTCAGTACGCAAAGTAAAGAGAAGAGAATCTGTGTAGATCTTGGGCAAAATCATTCGGAGAACAGTAGTGAATCATATCTCTCTCTCAACACAGTATCTCCAGGAATGATCTACTCTTTAAAAGAGGAATGATGTAGTATGCTAATTAACAATTCAAGCACTGGATGTTTCAGGACAGCACTCAGGACTCCAAACAGAGAAAATACTGTCTTCAAAAGTAATGCTTAAGCATCAAGTAGCAGCTTCACACATTTACTACAGGTAGAAAAAGAGGAGACACTGAAGAGGTTACTAAATCTTATACAATGGGCATGACTACCTCCTAGTAAAAGAAATGATGTGTTTCCACACAGGGTAAAAACTCAAGTCTGATCCGTCCATGTATGAACCTATATGAGGCTCTTATTGCTCATAAATAAATGGAACATGTTCAGTTGACTCCAAAGAAGAAATATATCCTTTCAAAAGGTAATTACTTCCCCTCTGATGATCTTACGTAACAATAAAATAGCTTTAAACAGAGTCTTGGGAAACCTAAGAAAGTATACCAAGCAGCAAATAAATAATTCAAGTAGAAATTAAAACTTCCCTTTTGTTTGGGTTTTCTTTTGAGGGGAGTGATGGTTTTGCTTAGAAGTTCTGGCATTACCTTGCACATATGAAAAACCATACAAGTAGGGCTTGCCATTAAAATCTTCAGTTACAAAATCTTGGTTTTCTTATGGTCACAGGAAAGGCAGCAGAGGCAACGAGTCATGCATGCAAATGGACTGAAGAGCCTCCCATATCAGTTGGGGCAATTAAAACATTAATTTCAGAGGGGAGCTTGCACAGGCTAAGTGAATTTACTGGGGGGAGGGGGAGAAAAAAAAGAGAGCATCATATCTAGTTAATCTCTAGATGATGACAAACATATGTGTATATATATACACACACACACTGGCTAGGAAGAAATGTAATGCACTTAACAGAGGGGAGAACACTGAACTCTATTCCCTTTAATTTAAAGCTGATGTTTACAAACACATCAACAGATATGTAACTATCTAATGCAACACTTCGCAATCTCCAAGTGTATAGATGCAACTTGCTCACGGAAATGAAATGCCTTTTCAGCAGACAATTCGTAAGTTAGGCTCCAGGTGAAAAGATTTCCGATTAAATGAAATACCTAAGCACGTGGAAGCATGTGGAACACAAAACACAGTTCCAACATGCTGGAATCACATCTGTTGAGTTCAAGGCTTCAAGATTAATCTGGTCTGATCTGTTAAGTGTTTTTAGAGAAAAGCAACAGTGTGATACTGCATCTACAGAAGGTCTCACATGGAAGTTTTATGTTTGCTCTTTCACTGATGGATCCAACATGTCGGTTAAAACTTGAAGCAAAATCATGCCACATCCATAAAATCTCATATAATCAAACTTAAGTGGGGAATGAGATTCTTGACAAACTATTTAACTCAAACAGACTCTAGGTAGGTGTAATGGTTGTATGTATGTTGTGAACCTATCTTTTTTTCAGCTCCAGCTGAAGCTGAATGCATCACCTTGTAGGGCAGGCTATTTTCAAAAGAGCACACCTCTTGCCAGGTTAATGAATGTTAGCACTCCTGATTTCTCAAATAGTGTTTTGGCACATATCTGCATTAGAAAAATCTTTGCTTTAGTGGAGAAGAGAAATCACAGAAATCAGGATGCAGAAAGGAAAAGGCATTCTACAAGATGGTCTTAAAAGCTGGAATTGGAAGTTGGATGGTCTTAGAAGTTGGAAGATACCGAAAATTAATTATCTCTGGGGGCAGGTGGAGAAAATGAAGCAGAATTCTATTAATTTCTTCAGCTAACAAGTAAAGGGTGAACATTTCTGACAGTATTCATGTACAGAAAGGAACAAACAAATTATCAGAAGTGGGAAGGGAGAAGACTAGCTTTCAGAGTTTTTTTAATGTCTCTTGGCCTAGAATACAGAAAACATGCACCATGAAAATATGCCTCCACCCTAAAAGAAGTGATTTATTTCAGAGTACTCTGATGTTCAAACAACAGGGCACAAAAGTCCTGCAGTACGCTCAAGGAGAGACAATATCTCGGGGCGGGGGGGGATGACACATGGAACGGACGACGGACAACAAACAAAAAGAAAGACCCAAAACACCAATGCCAAAACAAAAAAACCAAACCAAACCAAAAAAAGCCAACCCCCACAAAACACCCCTCCATACCTATTTTTAATTCCAAAGTGAGATGCGGTAACACCCTACTGAATTTTCTAAAGCAAAAACAATAAAATGTCCGCAAGCACAATTTCTCAAGTGCCAAATAATGCTTTCTGTTCTGTAATTCTGTACTTGAAAAAAGCTTTTGATCTAAACAAAACTCACACGTTCTACATCCTTGTACCTTCCAAAGAACACAGCAAAGGGAGACATCTCCTCCTTTTCCACAAACAAGCCAGTGTTTTAGGCAATCTCTATTCCCTCACACATCAGAAATTAAGATAATGAACTTAAAACAATAGGAGGTTAAAAAGTTAGAGATTTTTGGGGAGGAGGCTGGGTTTTACTTTCGTCCTTTTAAAAATACACAGTTGACAGACTTAAAAAATCTGCACAAGGGAAAAGAGATACCTTAGCTACTTTCCTCCAGTTAAGACAGTCAAAGAAGTAATATGTTCCCCTCTCGTACGTATTGGTTTTCATTGTTGGCTCCATGCCGGGTGCCCTGGTGATCCATACTCGTTCTTCTTTGTGGTATCTCCAATCCCGGTTAAATCTTTCATTTTTAATAGGAAGGAAAAATAATTTTTATTGTTAGTTATCTGAATTTGACTTTGTAAAATACAATTTTGAGGGTTTCCATCAAAACTATACAATACATTCAAAACCAAAACAAAATTTGTAAGACATCATTATACCTGTGATCTCATACCTCTTCCATACAATTATTACACCTCAAACTAATCACATGAAACTTTAAGAAGTCTGGTAGGTTCAAACAACAAATTCTTTTTATGATTATTTACCGTTTTTCATTTTGCTGAAGATAACTTATATGTTTAATGATGACTGGCACTTGCCACTTTTTCACAGTGCTTCATAATAATGCAAAATTTATGAGAAAAACTTTTGATTTCTGCTATATGAATGAAAAAAAAAAAAGTACAAAATGGAACCAAGGTTGGAGGAGGTATTTAAAAAATGCTTTTTACATCTACTACTTCATTACTGCAATAGATTAAATCATATAAGACTGACAAACAGTTTGAACGTACAGCTCTACTGCTGCTAATAGCTGTAATACATCTCCTCCATTCATGTAATAGAGATAAAACAGGAGATCTTCTCCATATCGGCCAAGTTTTATTGAAGCCAGCTGCAAAAGATTGAAGAAAATGAGGATGAAAAAATCACAATAGATAAATGTTTTAAGACATACTATCCCACTTAAATAACACAAGGATACATCCAGAACGCGCTTCCATCCTAAGTGTGTTGCAAATTATACTCTAATATAATGAGAGTAATAATTATTAAAACAATCATTTTTCTTCATTTTTAGTTAACCTTTCCAACTTAAAAAATACAAGAGAAAAATAAACAGAAGTAATGAATCAGGAAGACAGAATTTTCTCCCTGCACCTGTGTGTATCCTCATCTACTTACTTCTTTTAAATTAAAAAAAAATTTACATGTATTTGCTCACTTCACACTTATTAAGTAACATTACTACAACTTCTTACAATATTTCTCAGTGATCCCTCTTACAGAACTACAATAGTTGAAAGAAAATACATCTCAGAAAAAAAAAATCCCTATTCATGTAGATATGGAAAGCAACAGATAAACATGAGAATATCTTGAACCTCAATTCTGAGCTTATCTCAAGAAGAAATATCTCAATTTAATATGGCATTTGCATAATACAGTATACAGATTATAACAAAATTCTGCTTTACATGAAGGGCATACTCTTAAAAACATAATGTGTTCTTTAGCTAACCATGCCCACTCTCAATTTTGTCTTCCCTTTCTTTTTTTAAGCTGGAATGGGTGTATAATGTGTCCAATAAGCCGCTTAATGCATCACTGTTCCTAAAAAGATTGAGGACATCCATAAAAAGCACTGATTTTGAACGTTACCTATCTGAAAGGAAATTCAGAAAATTACCGGTAATAAATTAACAAAAAATAAGCACACACACACGTACTCACCTTATCCCTAATGTGAATGTTAGTTAAGTATTCAGATGGAACATGGAAGTCTAAAAAAGAATCGGAATTGATGCAACTATTAAGACACGTAAATGAATATAATTTGCAAATATTAATATTGAATTAAATAGTTATTTCTCTCTTACCTATGTCTTGAGGTCGACAAGGTGATGATGCCCAGGGTGATGCAAATTTGGGATAAAGATTTCTGAAGAAAAATAAAAGCACAAATTTATCAAAATTAAAAATAAAAATCAAACCAAACAAACAATCCCCACAACCAAGCTCGCAAACCTAAAACCCATATCACACAACCAAAACTACTACATGGGGTGAGAAGGAAGGAGAAGAGGAAATTTCCAGCCCACTTTCCTAACATAGTTACATTTATTCATTTTCTTTCTAATACGTGAAGTAAGATTGCATTTAAACTGCCACAGGAATCTAACAAGGCCAAGATTTCCTTTTTAATCTACCATTCCCTTAACTTAGGTGCCAGGGATCCCAACCCTTTTTAGGGATCCAATTTTACACAGGGTTTCAATTTGCATAGGAACAGCTGCCACAAGCCTGGTGGGTTCTGATTTATTAGCCTCTGATTTAAAAGGTGAGGAAAAGCTTATACTGGTAGATATTATTTTTTTTTAAACTACCCAGTAAAGATTTTAGTCATCTTCTAAATTTCAGTGATGACAAGTAAATTGAATCCCAGCACAACATGAACATAAGTTTATTATGATTTAATATTTTTCTTTCATATAAATTTTGCTAACATATATTAAACTAATGGCTCCATTTTTTTTTTAATAAAGAGAAAATGATGAACCTTCCAACTCTACTACAATGACCAATGTACTGAGGAATGAGTTTTCTAATTAACAGTTAAAGACGTGAAAAAAAGGACTGAACAAAATGTACTTTTGGCAGATAGCTACAGCCTGCTTTTAATTATCCATGATAGCATGCTATTATAGCAAGTTTTGTAAATGAAACTTGAGTATGGTACACCCTACCAAATCCCTGCTTCCTTCTTGTCAAGGGCCTGATAATTACTATTTAAATTAAAAACAAAACAAAACAAAAAAACCCCAAAAAAACACCAAACCACAATCGGAAACCTACCAAATGACCTGAACACAACCAACTACCAGCTGAGCTATATGGGGAAAAAAACTACACTGATAAAGTGGTGTCAATCTTACACTAGGGTAGTTAATCCTACTATTAGCAAAAACTTATGCTTTAGAGCCTGAAGGAAGATTTCAGTGGCAAAATCTGCAGATGTTGAAAATAACTAAACCACTCCTTCTACTGAAAGCATGGATAGGCATTGCCCCAAGGAGAGGAGCGTCCTGCAAGTCCATCACCTCGTGCGTGCCCTAGAGGTTTTGTTTCCTAGGGCAGAGAATTCAGGATTTTACATCCTTGGGAGTGCACCTCCACATGCAATAAAAACTGAAGCATTTGTGCACAGTGTTCCCTCTATGATACAAACAAAACTCTACTAATTTAACATTTTTCAAGAAGGTATCGGACAGCCTACAGTCTATTTGATGAATATTTCAGAAAGCTTCAGAACATGAACAAACAGCTACATAATCTCTAAAGAATTAAATATAGTAATGCCGTATTTTTTAATTTTTGTTTATGTAGAATTTTAAATTATCCTAAGGAATTAGAAGCATATTTCTTAACAAAGAAATACAGGACTGTACAGGTAATACATAATCATTCTTTCAACAACCAAAATAAATCTTAACATACCTGCATGGAAAAATCTATATAAAACTAGGAGTTAGAAGGGTTAATTCAAAATTTAGAGATACAGATAGAATTCTAATTTTTTTTTCTAATAGCACATTTATTGTGCAAAGCGTTTAAGTCAGACAGGTATCTTTACCGTGAGAAGTAGCTCACAAGGCAGAAAATTTCAGCTTTCCACATGTGAAATGCTTTTAGTTTTTCAAACAACAATTCATAAAGGAAGCAAAGGATGTTTAACATAAGGCAAGATGGCAGGCCAGACACTGAGGACTGCACAGGCTGTTTGCAAATCTTTTCTGTAGTATAAAATAAAACCAGCTTTCTGATACAGAACTGTCTGGATAAAATACTAACCCTACCCCCTCCAAGACCCTTAATACCCTGTACAGAGAAATAAACTGTTAAAAGCTTTTAAAAATCCAGCTATTTACAGCATACCTGCTAAGGAAAAGCAGCAGCATATGCCAGGTATATATACTGCTTATGTACAAAGACACACTAATAATTTGGATGCTGTATTCAGGAGCTGCGTAACACAGCTACAAGTCATCACATCATCAAAGCATGTTTCGTACCCCTCTGTAACGAGGTACCAGTTTTATGTAGACTCTCCAATAGGTATGTTAAGCTTAAGCTTTGTGTTAAGTCATTAAAACTAATGAATAACATTGAATAAAAAACATCAAATAGTATCACTAAAAGTAGTATCACTACTATTATTCTGCCTGCCAACATCTAGAGAAAGTAGCTATGTAACCAAATGACATAACTGGATTCCACCTGTGTCTAGGCACAGCTCAAGAATTCAGAGACTGATGTACTTGAGATTATTTTAATGAACAAAGGCGTTCTACTTTCAGCTGATCATCCTCAAATTATGTTTAAGCAATCTGTACTGAGAACAGCAAATTACTTCAGTATCATGTAGATCCAGGAGACCCATCTCCCAGTCAGTGCTGTAAGCTCTGGGACTACCAAGGAAAAAGAGCAACCCATAGTCAGTGTAACTGTTCTTTGTGACTTCTCTATGTTGTGGGAGAAGGGGACGGGAGTGGGAAACTACTGGATTCAACGGAGGAGTGATCTGCGAGACTACAAATGAAGAAGATACTACATTAACGTAACGCATTCTGCAAATAACTACAGACAATTGTATTACAAGGCTGACTTTGGATGATTGTTTTGAAATATTTTTAAAAGTGTCAATGGCACAACAATTTGACTAAGTTTTGATGCAAGCTCTACAAAATTTCTAGAAGTGGTAATTTCTAAAAAAGTTACATCTCTAGAAAGAAATATGTAAATTCATGCCAATTATTTCAAGACAGAAAAAATCAGGAGCCATTTTTCCTATGCTTTCCCTCTCAACTTAATATCCACATTCATCTATCTTCCCTGAACTCATGCATTCAAAGTGCAGCTCCACAGAAATTTGTGAAACATGGGAACCGTGTGTGTGCATGTTGTTTGGTCCTTGTTTCGTTAATATATTATGTGCAAACCTTAAAATGCATACACTACTCTGTCAGTAAGGCTAACACTATGTATATCTCTGCTGAAACAAAATGATAGGAGATTCTCGGGTGAAAGTCAGAGTATCAGAAATTAAATTGCTCTCACAATTACAGTCACCTAGAAGATAGTGGTTTGTCCAAACTGATCTAGGTTCCTTCTATAACTAGTGGAGAAAGAGAGGCAACCTGGGCTCATGATTCACCTCATCTACCTTAAGCACTTACCTCACTGTTAGTGCAGTCGCTAGCTACTCTTCTCCCCACTGCCTCTGCAGGAAGCCTAGATGACTAAACTTAGGTGAACTGAATGACTAGATGTTAACTATAAAACTACATTTTCATTGAAATTAATCTTTGGTGCAGGGTAACACTTGCAGATGCTCTGTTATTACACTAGTATCAATTGAATTTACCACCCAAATTGCTGAGAGTTAAGTGTAGATACCCTGAAGGAATATTATTATTTGAAAAATAACGTATACATGAAATTTATTAACAATACACTATCAACTCCTTGAAGAAAGTCCTAAAGAAGTTAAGAGAATAAGCAAAGCCACTAGGTTTATTCAAAGCTTGCACAGCAAGATCTCAATATGCCTTGAAGCACAATTCTCTTGTTTGTGAAAATTTTATTTTACTGTCATTACGTTTTCAAATTATATTTAGCAAAATATCTTGTGGGTTTGATAGTTGTGTGAGCTAAGCGAGCATATTATTATGAATGACAGCATAATAAAATCAAAACTGAAGACAGTACTGAAAACCAGAAACTTACTCAGGAGAGTTGAGATTGAGACCTAGTGTTGTTAAATCACTTCCTAATGCAAGATGTACCATTCCTGGATCTGTCTCTGCTGCCCTGATGAATGTTAACAAGCCAATCATTCCAAACTGGTCCGTCACCATCCCTTGAGGAATGTTGGTAACCCGACCTGGGCAAGAAGAACAAATTAATTTTCTCCTTTCAAGAAGTGGAGGAATCAACAAGGTGATCTAAATGACTGTCAAAACTTTTAAAGAAGAAAAAGTGGAACGACACATACCATCAGGTAACACCTGGATCCCTTTTTTCTGCTGGTTGTTGTTTTGCGTAGTTGAACTTTTATCTCCAGGAAACTTGGGCCCATCTGTGCTGGATGATGTTTTGCCTGATGTACTCAAATTCTATTAAAAATAATTTCCAGAATTGGTATGATGGAAACAAACCCAAATGGAAAAACCTGTTGACCATACCTTTCAGTCAAGCACTCTAAACCAGTACGTCAAGTCACTCTAATGAATTAGGCACTAAAATAGAACCAAGCTGAAGCTCTTGAGTTCTGTTGACAAACCTTATGTAAAATTTACCACTTCCTGTCATACAGTAAGAGCTATTAATGAGCCTACAGCTTGCAGTCTAAGACAATGAGAAGATATTTTACACCTGAGTTTGAATACACAATGGATATCCCAAGTGCCTGTGACTAGAGGATATTTTGGATTCATCACATCATGTATTTTTCCCCATACAGCCTTGCTCCCGCATAACATTCAATGATGTAGCAACAGATAATAACTCAAGCCAATTTCAGGTGCAAGCAACATACAGTTGGCACATTTGCAGCTACCAGGAAAGAGATGTAAACAATATGCCTGGCAAAAAAATTGTGATTGCACTCCAGGAGCCTGTATACTGACAAAAGATATCTTTGTAACTATTATTTCTTACTCATTATTCTTCTTTAAAACAAGTCTGCAGTAATACAATCTAATCACATTTACTCCCTCCTTCCTTACTGTATTCAACACTAACTGTATCAGAACATTTTCATTTTCAATGGTCTCTATTAAAAGAGCTTGTTCCCTGAGATTGCATTTCCCTATCAAGAATTTTATCCTCAAGTGATATTTACCACCTAACTTTTAGAGGATTTGACAGCTTTGAAGAGAGATGTTATAATGTGTAAATTACTACTACTGATGAGAGGTACCAACAGTGAAAAATGAGCTGGAATTAGTAGAAAAAGAAATTATGAACTGCAAAACTTGAAAAATATATATCAATTCTCAAAAATAAATTTTGAGGTGTTCTTGGAAGTTCCTCCCTGGCCACTCCACAAAATACAAAAGGATACACAAAAGTCACATGAAATTAAGAAAGCAAGGTCATAGTGACTGTTGGGACCAGAAAAGTTCCTGAGAAATTCCATTTACATAGTTATATATGAAACGCTGCTTATGCAAAATTTCTTGTTAATTTAGAGGGGCAAATTTGAAAATCTTACATTACAAATATAGTCACTGCCCATTTTAAGATATAATCATCTAAGTATGAACACTCAGAATAAAAGAGTATTTAAGGTTTACTTACAGATTTATTGTCATCATTACTTGATGTTGGGTCTTTGTAGCTGGAGCCTGGTAATGCTGGAAAATCTTCATTGTGTATTGAAAAGTCCTGGGACTGCTCACTTGCTGGTTTTGTTACCATTCCAACTATCATCAAAATGAAAGCAGGAATAACATTAAATGACTGTTAAGTAAAGAATTTTCTGCTGTTGATCTTGCTTACTGCCCATTTTCATTATGTGCAAGCTGTACAGCAGAAACGGCTTTCAAAAAAGACAGGTAAACCAAAACAAAGCATATTCATTTAAAACATCCACACATATTAGACTAAAGCCTCTTATTTAAGTGTGAGCTGAGAAACACTCTGGGTTAAATTCATAGACACATCCGCTGCTTTAAGAATGAAGCCCAGTACTTTTACCAGGAACAGCACCTGTTTTGCACATCTAAATAATCAACTAATCTTTACAGCCATTATTAAAAGCGGCACTTAAGGAAATCCACTGATGAAGGAAGGATATACTGTTTTTAAGATTATAATACATTTTTCCTCCATCCCCTAATTGCATGAAGAATTTCTTAGCATAATCTCTTTAGAAGCAGGTATTCTTAAAGGATGCCCAGCTAACTTGCAACAGAACATATCACCAATGAAATACTTGCCTGTGACATAAGAACGACTCCTACTTTCAGTATGAAAACTGAAAGCATTTAGCCTGCAACTCTCAGTGCTCTGACCCTAATTTAAAAAAAGTAGGCCAGTCACATTGGAACATGGATTCCGACTACTGAAAAGCAACATTCTCTTTTTTTTTTTTAATGCCAGTTAAAAAAACCAAAACCCAAACCAAAACAAACAAGCAAGAAAACCAACCAAAGAAAAGCCCCCACACCACACACCCAAGGGCAATTACTCTTTGCTTAGAGACAAGAAAACTAAGAGTGATTTGGTTGCAAACAACACTGCACTAGAGGAAGATAAGACAGAAGTAGTCTAGGGCCTATGTTTCAAAAGATTCTTAATAGATGTATAGGATCTAAAATAGTTCAGTAGCTGACAATATATGACTTTCTCTAGTATTCTGAAGATAGAGATCAAAGTTCCTTTATTTTAAGAAAAAAAACACCGAGTTAATCTTGTTTCTGCTGTTCACCCTTTTCATCCAGAGTTATGATTTCTTCCACTGGATGAATAAAACTAATAATGAATTAACTGTGTATTGCATATTCTCATTCTAGCTAAAAAGTTCTTTGAAGACTAATTTTGCTAAATAAGCTAAGCATGAAGAAAGTATGTCTCTGCTCAGTTTCAAACCTTGTTTTTCTTGATCACAACCAAAAGCACTCTGCATTTTTTGTTGCTGGAGACAATGCCCACTGCATTTCATATCCCTATTTTTTGACTGTTTCTACCACCATACCCACCCCCTGTATTAAGCAGATGCTCAAGATAACTCTTCAGACAGAGAAATTTCTTTCCTGGTATATCACACAGTCATGCAAACAGCTATGCTAGCACCAAAACAGGGAAATGGGAAGAATTGCAGATTTTGTTTTATGCAGCAGTGCTGCTGAATGTTGAACTCCAGCTCCATGCTGGAAGTACATCTGTGTGGATCTCCTTCCTACTTTCAATCAGTTTTTCATGTAATGGCATCTTTCAGAGACAGACAAAACCTCATATAAACCACAAGACGTATTAGCACTCCGCTCTCAGTGTGACTTTTCATGTCTTCATTTGGGGAAGTGACTTTTCCCTGTGTTTAGGGCCACTTCAGTTTAACTCATTTTGCTCTTTCTCACAGCTATCTTAAGCAGAGGGCCCTGGTTACGCCCAGTCCATGAGGCTACTTTCTCCTGATAATGCAGTATCTACTATTTCTCTCCAATTAAAGTTGGAGATATTTCTGAAAAAACATTAGCTTTTTATCGTTAGAAAACACTGGGTTATTTTTGGTTGGAAATTTGACAAGTGTCACAAAAATAACTTTAGGTTATAAAAGCAACTTTTCAGAGTAGCTGATGCAACATGCACGACAAATCTACGAAAGCAGTAACAAAAAAAAAAGTATTGTGCCTCACGCTAAGCTTACCTGAATTTTTTTCAGACACAAATAATAAGATTTGTATCCACCTTAAAGTTTTTCCTTTTATTATTTTTTTAAGCTGTTCAGCAAGAATTATATAGACACAGACTTGCAATCTGACTGATAATCGTTGATGCTTACAGGTTATTTTTTGAAACCTGATGTTCATCATAAGACTGACAGTGAGCAGTACTACTGCAAGTACTACCAATAAACAGAGAAAATATACAGTATGTTTACAGCTGCTGACTTTTTACACAGTAACACCTCTGGCAATCAAATATTATTTCTAAAATTTACTACTCAGACCTCAAGAGTTCTTGTATACATGCAATTAGACAACAACCTATGGCCTAAGAAATGTCTAGAGTGAGCAGCTTCAGAGTAATCATACTATACAGACTGAAAACCCCAACAACGTCTATTGACAGTGAAACTAAAGCAGATGAGTTCTAATACTTACAAAAGCCTGAGGGGAATCTCCAATCACAGAGATATTGATTATTTATTTTAAAAAATGAGACTTAGGAGCTCAAGTGTCTGGCATTTCTTTTAAAAGACTACCTATTGTCTTATGAACAGCAAAAGGTGAATCAATACTGATTTCATTCAAAGAGCTTTCAAAAGTATAGTCTTACCATAGGGTGCCCTTCCAGCTAAAGGGTTTATTAATGGAGTTGGATTGCCACTTCCTTCCCTTCTGTTTCTGTCTGCTAGTGCTGGAAAATCTGAGAGGTCCAGTCCTGTCACATTTTCACTTCCATCTACAATACAAACAGATGTTTTAAATTCCCTTACATTTTTTACTCAAAGACTTCATTATGTGCAAGATAAACGTAGGATTTATTTTCTTTCTTCAAGTTCATCTTTTTACTCTTACTGTAATTATTACAAATAACTACAGCCTCTGTGTTATGAGGCTAGCCTAAAGAGCATCAAGATGTTTGGGGTTTGTTTTTAAACAATAGCTAGTCAACAGTATTTAGTAACAAGGTCTACTCATTTTGAATTAAAGACTGCATGCATAAAATACAGGTGACTATCAAAATTACAGTACTAGGATAGGTAGCCTGTTTAAAATTTAAGGAGCTATCAAGAAGAAATTTGAGAGATAATAATAACCCATATTAGCAGCAGCATCAAGGAGCTCTTTTGTCCTTAGATAAGATAAAGCTGAAGCAGCTGTAAAGCCAATGCAGTGCAAGTTACATGGGAACTGTTTTTGATATGCAGCAGAAAATACTATATAGGCAAGGCCAGAGCTGCAGCTCTCTAAAGATGTCACAAGGTCCTAGGGGGTGCCCAAACCCTTCCACTCTGTGATGTCACCAGCACCTCAAGTTGTTTCATATACACAGCCACCTACAGAAACATCAGCAGGGACAAACCTAAGGCATTTATGCACAATGATCTTTTCCCCTCTCTAGTTCATTAAATTCAGGAGAAGTAGTAACTTCCAGAGAAAAATCACAACTGAAACAACCAAATGAAAGGATAACATTATAAACCAGCTGTTCAAAAGGAGATTTCAAAAAAAATGCTTTCCCACTGTTTTTACCCTATATAATGTTTTCGTAGAAAAAGGATAGATCTTTTCTTCTCTGATCCCATTTTCAATTCCATAAGCTATTTTGCATTTCTAACCGACTAGGTATAATCTACAGTCATGTGATGTACAGTGAGTATTCTACAGAATACTTTCGTTTTGTCTTCAAAAGTATTAAAATCCACTGTTATGAAGTAGTAACAGTTTCATAGCACTGCTCTTGGAGCAGCATTTCTGTGGAACAACTGAAAATTATAACAAAGTTGCACTCCAACAGAACAAAGTATTTTCGATTAGACTCTTTTAGTCAAAAAATCTCTCTACTGGACTTTAAGATCAACATTAATCAGAGTAAACTCACCTGTTCCATTAAAAATGTTACTTGATAAGGAGTTATTCATTCCAAATGCCTGATTTCTGTTCATCCCAAATCCAGACATACTGTGAAAAAAATCCAGGAAGTCAGACAAAAGGGTATACATACTTTGTAATTTCCAGTGGAATGCATTAAGGGGAAAAAACCCCTAAGACACCTAAATTATTTCAAGCTTAAGCAACCCACATTAGCCTAAACTCAGCTTTTAATTATTTTCCTTTATACTTCTGAAAACTCTGAGCAGCAGCAGCAGGCACTGCTCAATCAAGACAACTGGAATGACTTCAAAATAACCTAGTTTTTTAATAGCCACTGTGTCTTAAGACATCTGTCAACCAACAAGTTATGACAAACATGATCGTTACTCAGTAATTTCATATAGAAAAATGAAGTAGCAGTAAATGCAATAGTGAAAAGTTAGGCTGCAATCCATTCATTTACAGGTGGGAAGCTGGATCATGGAAGCGATCAAGTTTGTCATGACTCAGTTATAAGCTGAACAGTTAAGGTGTGCAACCATCACCATGTACATATGGCTCTATTATGAGCGTAGGGATGGTCTCTGCCACACAAGGGCACCAGCCAAATTAAAGTCTCACAGAGTCAGGCAAAAATGTTTGAAGACATCTAAATATATAGGACTACTGTGGCTGGAAAGACACCCTCACAAATGATCCACTTCATTCTGTGAGAGTTGGAGATGTTGAGAAGCTCAAAGGTAGGCCCCAGCTGAGTGAAATTCTGAATTTCTGCCCTACGGGAAATCACAACATTCATTTTTTTCCCTGTAACAGGATGGAAGTTGACATGATTTTAGAAGTTTCTGTAAATAAAAATGACAAATTTTTTCCTAGTGGAAGTTTTACCTACACAGACTTTTTCCAGTTACAGATCTGAAGCATTCCAATTTGAAACAGCCCTAAATGCTTCATTTTGGATTGTGACATTAAGAAAGGGAACAGTTAGCCAAGACTGGTCCTGTTCTGCTTTGCTTCCCCAAGGTGGTGTATTTGAAAGACATCCAGATCTTTGACACCTCACGCATCTGAAGAAACACACTGCTGGTATCATCTGTGAATTCTAGACCTGGTGAGAGCACCAACAGGAGACAACTCAATCTTGAGAACATATAACCCAGCCTGATGACAGACAGTATTTCTCATGCAAGGGTTTTTTTTTTTTTGGTTTGCTTTTAAAGTAATTAAAAATAACCATGTTAAGAATTTCAGGCATAAGAAATGGATTAGGCCACAAAATGCATACTTCTCTACAATTATTTGTAACCTGTTTTACCAACGTAACTAAGAAAGGGGAAGTGAAGTATTTTTATATTAAAAAACCTAAAAACTTTCATTGCTAAGGCAACCATTCAGAAAACACTTCTCAGAAGTCACATAATTCATGCACCTGTCAAGGAAACACCATAATTTTTTTTTTTCCAAGTATAACTTCAAAATTTTGTTAAATATATCAATTAACAATTGGCTATGTACTACTACTAATCTTTTGTAGGCTAATAAACTGCGGAATGAGAACTTGTCATTGTTCCAGTGATATTTCCTTCTCGACTTGTAAAAGTCGTAGCATCTTGAAAATATGATACACAGTGCAAACAGTAGAAGATGAGGATTTTAATTCAAATGCTCCTACAGACAGGGATTTCATTATCTACCCTACAGCTGAGCAGTATTTAAACAAGTACTTTCTATAAATATATCAATCTCCAAAATCATTGTCCTCTCTATGTAGAGTGTTTAAATATTACTATTTCGACCTTCTGTGATGCTCAAGTTTCAAAAATACCTTAAGATATAAAATTAACTTTTCAAATTATCATCTCCTTTACTTGCTGCTATACATTACAGGAAAGAAAAGGTAAATTCTATGTAATCAGAGGCAAGATACAAAATCTTCTCACACTCCAAGAACATAAACCGGTACTACCAAATCTCTATTGCTGTGATTGAGAAAAGCATTTTTATGCCTGTATCAGTACGAAACTACAGAACTAAATAGCCTGACCAAGTTTCAGATAACCATAACGTTAGTTTTCACCTTCCTTTATCCATTTTGTAAAATACTAGATTGGGTCAGAGGTGGCACCTGACTGCCATGAGCTTGTTTGTGCTCCCTGTAAGAGTCAGTCCTGTAAGGAAGGGCCTGAAGGGAGAAAAAGGATGAAACTGCGAGCAGAGATTCTGAGGTCATAGAATGAAGCCTGGAAAGCAGTCAGCTGTGTGAAGCTGTGACCACACACATTAAATAATTAGAATCAACACATTTTTTACTACAAGTTTATCAGTATGAACTAAGCATAAACATAGCACCAAAACACAGTTAAAGCCCAATGATTTATGATGTTACAGTCTTGCCCAGTTAGAAAAAGAGCAGAAGTGACTGAGAAGCTTTTGGCACCCAAATGAGCACCTTATCCTTAAATGAATGGGAAAGCAGTGTTTTCCATATTATTCCAGAATTTAATGCTAGGTCCCTACTGAATCTGAATCAGTTAACTATTATCCCAGAGTAAATATTGTGTTTTTAAATCTTGCCTTACTTCTTCCCAACCTCATAGATGAATAGTCTTAAAATGGAAACATATACCCAAAAATCAATGTATGTTTCAAAAACTCAGGAACACACAAGAAACATCACATATCTTAAAGAAGCAGCAGCAGAAATTCAGTAGTCAGAAACAGAATTTAACTTAAAGGTCTCACAAAGCTTGTGTGAATATTAAAAGCAGCTTCAAAGTTTATCACCAGGAGACAAGAACACATGAAGCAGCGCTTTTGAGCTTTATTCTAATGGATAAAAATTAGATTTCCAGAGCAGCATTCAAGCATTTCCATGGCTGTACAGGGACGGTCTGACTAAGCAGCCTTACCTGTTCACAGTAAAAGGTTGTCGAGAGGGTTGCTGCTTTGGCATACATATTATGCTTGGAGAGCTTCTGTTGGGGCTGCCTAACCCTGAACTGCTCATGCTGTTTGTCCTGCTGGGAATTCCAATGCCCTGACCAACCTGGGAGTGGTTCATCATATTCCTAGGATTCATAGGCAATATCCCCCTGAAAGAGAAAAACCATCCACAGAGATGAATGTGTACAGTAGTATTTGGTTACTCATTTAGGTTACTAACGTAGGATGGACTCTGAGCTGTTGCAACTTAACTTGTGCTTAGCGTCAACACAGCATGTTTGGATTACTCTCTATAATTAATTTAGTTTTAGATTTCTTCAGAAATACCAGATGACCCATTACATACTGATCAAGTCCTTGGTCAGGTTTAGATAAATACTTAAATATTATGCATTTGAAAAGGTGTTACAGCTCTTTTTTTAATGAGCGCTTTAGACCTACTACCTTAATATTCTTATACAGTGTATGACAGCCATATAAAAATTTTAACTGTACATTTACCAGAACAACCAAAAAACAGCCTCTTACATTCTGAAGCAGAATTTGCCAGCATTTGTCCTTTACATACAAAAAAAAAAAAAAAAAAAAAAAAAAAAAAATCAAATACTGTCTTACAGTAAGTCCTATCTTACTGTCTTACAGTATTATTTCCCTAACATAGGCAGCGGTCAATAGAAACTACTTCTTTTTTAATTAATCAGACTGTAAAGTAGTTGAGGCAAAATATGCAGAACATTTAACAAGAGCTCTGCAGAAAGACACAATCGCAGAAATAGCAGCTATCAATAAATACCTGCTCGGAGATGGAGGCGTGTGAAGTGACATTGTTGGTACCCCTGTTGTTGGCGTTACGTGGCTCGGTAACTGAGTGCCTTGTGATAAGCTGCGATTTAACTGAGGGGTATTGTTGCTCATTCCCCTCATTGGAAGGCCTAGTGCACCTATTGAAAAAAAATTCAGAGGGGTGGAGATATAGAGCAATCAGGAACAAAGTCTTCTCCATCAAGTGTAGATGGAAACAATTTATGCTGACAACCTACAAAAAAGTGTAAAGACTGAAGGAAAGTGCAGTGTAAAAACTAACTCCTTGTTTGCATAGTAGAAGCCCAATTATCTCAAATTTAGCCCCATTTCTGTTAAACGTTAGAAAGGCTCTTTAAGGAATTTCTGTATTTGAGTCATAAACAAAATTTTGTTTCTTTTGAGATGCATACTGTAGAGAAAGGTTTTAGTTTGAGTTTTTGATGAGGACATGGAAATCTACAAATTATCTCAAAAAGGCAGCACTTTGAGAAAATTAATAATTGCACTCAAGAAATACATTAATTTCTTTTTAATAAATGGGTATGTTTGGCCAGTATTTAGAACACAGATCTGTGTTGTTAAAAATTAAACAAATCTAATTAAAAAAGAAAGTTATTACTATGTAGTTCACAATAACATTGCTTTTAGGACAACAAAAGCAACTTTTTAGGCCAGTTCTCTGTAAAGTTCAAGTTGCTCCTTTTTGATAACAGAACTTCAGTGTCCATGATCAAGTCAAGCTCAATCTTTTCAGAAAAGAAAGCAAGCAGAATTTTAACTGCCCTCTCTTAGCATTTAAAAATACACAGATTTTTAACATTGTGATCAAAAGTATTTTCTACACAAACAACTGGGTGTGACAGAATAAAGTAAGCACTTCAAGTGAGGTAGAAAAAGAAATCACTAACTCAGAACAGCGAAAGATAACCAGCTGCTGCCCATCTCAAAATGTCCAGCAACTTTATGAAGTTTCTCATCATTCTCACATTGCTTTTTTGTGTTTAGGAAGTTTCAGAATGATGTTCAAAGACAAGAAAAAGTCATTTAGTGCAATGTATCAATAGAAACAAACTTAGCATATAAAATGTGATAGCTATAAGTAACGGTCCCTATCCCTATTGCTTTGGCATAAGGCTGCTGAAGTGGACTCACAGAACTCAAAACCTTATCTTGCAGACCAAACTAAAGAAAAATGATGATGAATCAGCACTCTCCCATGGTAGTTTACCCCTGCAGAAGAGGTGAATATGCCAGTGTATAACGTGATTAAATACCAAGAATGCAAAGAACGGACATAGCATACGCTCAGGTTATTATCACGGACAAGGTCTGAAGAAACCTCACAGTTGTTTGGCTCCCTCACTTTAAGAACTGCTGTCTGTGTCCTACCCTACAATTTGCAATCCAAAAAGTTTGCAATAACACTCAAAGTTTTAATAGCACTCAAATTTATCTCTATACATTCAGATTAAGAGGTAGTGTGGCTTGCTATAACAAGCTTCCTAAGACTTCATTAAATGCTGATTATATCAAGATGTTCACTGTAAATATTTTGGCAATTTGCTGCATCAGAATAATTTCAATGAGCATAAATATACATTATAAATAATATTTCATGCTGATTAACAACTAGGTGGAATTTTAAAAATAAAATGGTAAAGAAAAAATACATACACTTCCAAACCAGATACAGTACACTGAAAAATGATTACAATATTCAGGTTAATTTTATGCAAGCATTTGTTTCAGCAAAGCCAGTTTTACACTGATGGTTATTACTTGTTGTTGTCTTTCTTTAAACTAGCGTTTTTAATGAGTGGGGCTGTAACAGTGATAGAACTATATTCCTGTGGCTGGCAAGCATGGGCAGTTGAAATATTCACCATAAGAAGAAAAAAAAAATTTTAGAAAAAAAAAAAAATCTTTTTTCTTATGCTTCCTTTTTCCACATTTTTAACTGAGACAAGAGACGGACATGGGCTATATTGGAGGCTGATCAATGAAGTGGCCAATTTCCTGCCTAATAGTTAAGTTTACATTAACTCTTTAACATGACATCTTGCTAAATGACTGACAGCTACCAATCTAGAAGTGGCTAGGCATTATCAGCTTTGTTTTTCCCAGAAGTATTTTAATCATAAGCATTGACTTCAACACAGAAGTTTCTCGCCCCTTTTTCTCAATATTTGGTAGAAACTGAACCCTGATAACATTTACTTTCTAGTTTTTAGCCATATGTGTCTCCACGTTAGGGAGATTATGTCCTAGGCACCACAACCAAGTGAATGAACAATAAAGTTGATGAAAAAAGTTAACCTTAAAAATAAACAACAAATAACTGTGATAAACAGAATGAATAAACTACTTCAGTATCTCTATACAGTTAAGTCTGAAAGGTTCAATCATGCCAGATTCAGGACCCAAAAAGCCAAGAGCCAAACATGACTCTCAGACTGGCCCGAAACTGCTCACATAAATCTCAGTAGCATAATCAAATGCCAGTTTATATTACATGGTCACTCATCAACAGCCACTGAGAGAGTAAAAAAATCACTGTATTTTTTAAACTGTTTGAAGAAAGCTGAAAGAAGTTGTGAAGGCCATGCATCTAGCAGACAAAGCTTTTAGTTTGTCCAGATAAAAAAGTCCAGACTCTCTAAAATACTCTGAAGACACTTTTTCTTAGAATCCAAGTCAGATGAGCTTGGCAAGAAAGTTGCAAACATTCAAAAACTTACAGTGATAAAAGAGAGATGTTCACAAACCCGTTTCACTTCTGTAATTGTATCCAACTCAGATATTCTGAGACACTTTCTGGATGCACCTCTCAGTTACAAGGAGTTTTGGTCCTCTGCACTGGCCCTAAGTTAGGTGGCTAGCGTTACACACTGGGACTGTTGCTCTACAAGTCTTCTATTGCAACAGTATACACAAGACTGGCAGATACAGAAAAAATCTTCAAGGTATGGGAAAGAAAAAAAAGTGGTGCAGAAGGCAATAATCTTACTGGCATAGTTCTTTGCCAAATGTGAGTTGCCAAGCATGTACACAAGATTTAATTTGCTCCTGTAGAGCATGAAATATCAGTTATAATTTAAGATATAATTTCCTTTTATTCCTTACATTTTTGGCTCATTTTGGCCCAGCTCACATTCCTTAGTTTTTTCTTCAGAGTCACAGTTAAAATCACAGATATTCTTTATAGGATAATTATATTTGGATATTTAACAGCTATACAGCATCAATATATGACACTTTGCCTACTAAACACTGCAAAAATGCATACTAAGCAAAGCAAAAACATACCTTAAAAAAAAGACAACAAAACACAAAATAAGGAGACATACTGCCTTTTTTACGATCACCAGAAAACAAAGCCATATGCATGTTCTCTATCCAAAGAGCATGAAACTAGAACGTACTTAGCATAAAATATATATACCATCAATAAAAAGAATTCTTACTTTGTTGCCCGTATAAACTTGCCCCAAACTGAGACAGCTGACCTGATGTTGATGGTGATGCCAGCATCTAAAATGTAAGAAGAAAAGGTTATTGAAGACACAAAGATATTGTGCTAACTTGCTCTGAAAGTTTACAACAGTATATTGTTTTGCCAAGAAACCCGAAACAGCAACTTAAAAGGAGTTTTAAGTCATCAAAAGTTTTAAAAGCTCCCCAAAATATCTGCACGGTAACAACTGTAGCACTGTGTTACATGTCAATAAAAATTCATGATTTTACATGTATAAAAACAGACTTTCTTTTACTTGCGACAAATAGCACAGAGGAAGATCATCTAAAAGCTTTCAGTTTTTCTACCCTTGTAGCTAAGAGACCCATCTTTACCAAAGAAGGAATACTCAGTTATTTAAATCAGATATAGGTTTTTTTCCACCCTGCAAAACATGCATCATACAAGCAGATCAATCCCTGTTCAATGTAATAACAGCAAGTGCAAAGTTTCATATTATCAGTTACAATAGCAAAAGGTGGGAATGAGTGGCTAGGTAGCAGCAGGTATATAGGAACAGATCAGATAAGATTCCAATGTTAAAATTATAATGTACGCCCCTAAGAGCTAGCTTCATACTTGTATACACCATATGAATAGGTAATATGTACGAATGTCAGAAGCAATCCTTCTTGCTCTATTATACCCACTTTAGAGACATCACATATTTCCAGATATTTCCATTAATACATTCTTTGACAACTTTCAGACAAAGTGTGACAAACTAAAGAGACTCTCAAGAAGAGTAAGATCTGAAAAAATAAAATCATGATCTATGAAGAAAGATTTGAGATTTGGGTTTGCATACTCCAAAGAGAAGGCAACTAAGGTAGGGACATGACACCAGACTTCCACTCATTGCTGTAAGAGGAAAAGAATAAATACTCTCCATGCTGCTGCAGAAATGGAAAGTATTAATAAATTTGAGAAACAGGAGATTTAGGTTAAATATTTGGGGAAAAAAAAGCTCTGTGCAGTCTTGAGAACAGTAAGCACTGGGACATCCAGCCCTGGATGTTTTTAAAGAACAGTTAGATGTTCATCAACATTAGATATAGCTGATTGTCCCTTGGAGCAAGAAGAGTTATTAGTTGACCCAATTCAGCTCACAACAGAATATGCTACTCATACTTACTAACCCATGGACAAATGTCTGCTTGTTTAGTGCAGCAGTCTGGACTTGGATTGAATTTTAGGATCGTTTCAAGGAAAGGAATGTCTGGATTCTTAAATGTAAGGGGATTTCAAGCTCTTTCAACTTGAGAGTAAAGAATTCAAATCAAAGTAACTTCTACTGTGATAAATTGCAAATTGCTTTATTGATTTAATCTAGACAGATGTAAAACTCAAACAAACCTTATAAACTGAATCTGCTAGTTGTCTATACTGAGGCCAAATCTGGATGGTAGAAATAAGAAAGAAGACATGCAGGGTAGACACTAAATATCAAAAGTAGCATTCATGACTGTAAATCACAAAGTATTTATGATTTTTGAATACATACAGAAGGCATGAGAAATTACAGCAGGCAATTACTGTAGACCATCAGAAAATGTATCAGAAATATCACCCCCAAATCTTATGTACTGACACATATTTTGAACAAAGTGCACATATTTGATAGTAAGCAACTACAGCAATAAACACCCACACTTGCATACACAAGAGGTTTGAAACACTAAGACAAAAATTTCCTGCAGAAAAAAACCCCAGAAGTAAAATATATGCCAAACTGGACCAAAGTTCTCCTTTCTTAGTGAAGAACTGACTGTGAACAGAAGAACATTTTAAATAACTACCAGTGGCTTCAGCTCAGCACTCGAACAGCAAAGTTCACAGGCCACATCTGCATCAGCAAGTAATGCCACCAGAGAGAAGTGTATTTGTAAAACAAAAAGGTTGGTCCTGCGGGCCTAACGTACATACTGTGTGCTTTTCTAACTAGAGTTAGCCATGACTAAAACACCTAATGCCACCGACTGGTTGCCCGTTAGTGAGTGGAACACGTTTGGTGCACTCCTGGAGCACTTCTTCCAGCCTATTTTGATCCAGAAGGAATCAAATTCATTCACTCCAAGAGTGCTCTGCAACACAAACCAAAGCATGCAGAAGTGGGGACACTTGGGAGACAGACTTCAAAAGCACACTCCCCACCCAAACTAACAAATGGATGTTTGTTAAACATTGATAAAACGAGCTGATAAAGTAGTTTTAAGAAAAGAAAGACAAAGGAAAATGTTGAGGTAAAAAAACATTCAAGTATGACAAGTTGGAAAATCCTAGAACAATGTTGCAAAGTGTGGCAAATTGTAATTTCATGGTGGTGGGGGGAAGAGAGAAGTTATGAGATATCTTCAGAGACAATGACAAGGGCACACAAGCAAAAATAAAAACCCCAAACCAAGCAGACATTGAGATAGAAACAGCAGTCAAAAAGTACTACCAACTTTGGGACAGGTAAGCAAAACAGTTAAGCCAAAAAAGATCCCACAAGAACAGCTGCTCAAGGCATTCAAAAATTGTTGTGATGGCATGGGATATAATAAGCAGAAAATGGTACAAATCTTGGCATAAACCCCTTTTATGTATAATGTTAACTTGGATACAAAGAAAAATAATCAAGAAAAAAAATCACAGACCTAAGATGTACTAGATTACTTGAAAGAGAGGAAAAAGAATCCCACCTCTTCTACACTGAGTACTACTTGACTTTTTAAATTCAGTTAAAAGAAAAGGAGTGCCAAATAATATTTAATGTATATTAGAAATAGGATTTTCTTTTGAAACATTGCAAAGTAGGTCACATGTATTGTGCCATTTGCTTTTATATGAAAAGTTAATTCCAAAATGACTTGTAGAGAAACCTTTGTAGAAAACCATAATAAAGGCCAAGTATTAAATTCAGTAAGTCTAACAACTAGTCTTAAAGTCATAACATACTGAGAACGTCAAAGATAACAAGCCTGAAGAAGAAATAAGTAAAAGTTTCTGTGGATCTGTTCCAGGCTGATTAAATACAGCATTTCTCAAATCTCATAGAGGAGTATGCTGTACGGGTATCTCACTTATTCTCTCCCTAGTTTTGTAATATGCCAAAAAACTCTCCTCAGTATTAAACACTTTTTTCTGTCATAGGTAAGTAAGAAGCAGTTTAAAATTTTGTCTTCTTTTTCTATTATTTCCATATAATTTAGGTCAACAACAAAACAACTAAATGAGCCAAAACCTTAACCTACACTACCAGGACCTTTATTTGCATTCACAACCTCTGAGGTTGTAGTAGACAACAGTCTACTCAAACTCGGTCTACCAAAGATAATGAAGATTCAAGAGGAACGCTATTAGTAGTATTAAAACATTCCTTCTGGCATTCTGCAATCTTTATTTTATCTGACTGGACTACTAGCCACACAACACACAAAACATAACAACTCTCCGTGAGTGTACTTGCAATGGTGGCTGGAAGTCACTTATGAATTTCTTTTAGTTTACAACAGCCAAAGGTCATGATAAACTTAATAAAAACTAAAGCAGTCTAACGCTTAAGGTCACTAAAGCTTCTTCCAGGTGATAAGATCTTTTGAGCTTTATGCAATTGTGTCAATATTTTAGGAAAAAAAAATGCTCAGAATTATGCCTGTAACAACCTTTGAAAAACAAAACGTACCAAATTACTGAGTCACATCAATGAACAGCATATTCTAGCAGTATATATACATTATCAACTTTTTAAAACAAGTCAAGGAATTGTTAAACAAGCTTCTGACACCTACAGCTTTTGCTACACACATACCAAAAAACCTCCACTCTTCAAACTTTGGCATTTAGGTTTAAATCAATTTGCCAGTGGTTAACAGCTATAAAACCCAGCTGTGAAATAGCATGGGATTTCTGCTTCTATTCCAACCTTGTATGACTGAGCTAGACAGATTGTTTCAATTGGCTTTCCCTGTACATGTCAGCAGACAGAGGGGGCCTAAGATTTGCATCTCCCACAGGACAAGGAGACAACTGAGCAAACAAGACCTTGTGTAACATGAAGGGTGCACTTTATTCTGCTAGCGTACGGAAGGACTGACAGTCAGTACTGGCAGGCTGAAGGACTGAGTTGGTGATAGTCAACTAAGACATGAACATAATTTTATTCACAAATCTCAAATAGTCACAGTGCAGTTCTGATCATGGAAGATTCTGCCTCTAAGCTCAAAACAACTGATGATCCAAGCAGATGGCCCAATTTTTCTGGACTGGTCCACACCAAAAATCAGGAGCCATAACGTGCAATCAGGCAATTTCCTACCCCTAGTGATGAACGAGATTTTACTGTAACTGCTTTTGTTAACTCTTGATGGGTTTACTGCAGCAAGTTCATTTAAGAGTGTCAACAATCTCAAAAAAACAGCCCCAGCAAAATGCTTAAATTTGCCAGAACTGTGAAAAAGCTGCTGCATTTTACAATCCTCCCGGGAGGCTGGTGAACACAGGCTGCAGCCTCCCCGAAAGCAGAGGGAGGTAGTGGGAGGAGACCCAGCAGCAGAGCTGGCTGACAGGGTTCCCGCCTTCCCCCTGCACTGCAGCACCCTGCCTCTTCAAAGCAAATCCCCAACTTACGGCGGGGGGAGGTCCCCACAACGCACAACACAAACCCTGCCTCTTCAAAGCAAATCCCCAACTTACGGCGGGGACAGCTGCCTGTCACCAGAACTGCCACGGTAGCGCACCTCGGCACGACAACACCAAGAAAACTCGGTAAAGCAACACTTCTGCAAAGGCTGCTACATTATGCAGTTACAGCCTGAAGCCACTTTCTTAAACACAAAGCAAGCTGAAGTTAAAATACATCAATCCAATGCTAGAAAGTCAACTAAAAGCAAAACATGTTAGAATAAGTAAGTCTGTGAGTAATATCTGGCCTGATAAATGAAGGTTTTCTCACAGGTGCAAACATCAGCATCATTTTGTATTTGCACTACTTTATTTCTGGTATCTGCCATCTGTGCTGCACTATTTAATAATA